GGGTCATGGTTAGGTTTAGGGATAGGCTGGGTTTAGGTCCAGGCATGGGTCAAGCTCAGGGGTAGGTTGGGTTCAGGTTCAAGTTGGGTTAGGGTCAAGGGTAGGCTGAGTTTAGGTTTAGGCAAGGGTTAGGGTCAAGGGTAGACTGGGTTCAGGTTCAAGTTGGGTCAGGGTCAGGTTTAGGGGTAGGTTGGGTTCAGGTCTAGGTAAGGATAGGCTGGGTTTTGGTTCAAGTTGGGTCAAGGTCAAGTTCAGGGGTAGGCTGGGTTGTGTGTATGGGTTTGATAAATTATTTATTCCATTGGTTTATAAAATACTAATTTTGAATATTATTCTTTTTAATTTATAGTTGGAGTTGTTGAACATATGTGTATATTGTTTGTTTAGATTGCAAGTAAATATTAATATTAAAAAAATTAATTTATTTCATTTATTTTCATCAAATAGAAGTGGCTTTGGGGTTAAGATGCCTGCACTCTTAGGCACTAGACGACCTGGGCTTTTGAGATTAAATCATGCCAGGTCCCCTTTTTATAGTGAAGCACTCAATCACATTTGTTGTCAAACTTAGGTTCAATATGCTGTTGTGTCAGACTGTATTGGCTGATATGATGGTATATCGGATTGATACGTACAATTGGCACAAAACAATGCCAACCATAATGTATCTCATATCAACCCCTACGGATAGCGATACAATATGCCTCATATTGAACATATCGTATCAATATTTTAATCATTGTCTAATATCTAATCTGATACCTTGTAGTCCCATATTTATTCAATTAAGGTCATAAATGATAGAAATGACTTCAATTGTATTGTTTTTTTGCAACCAATGACTATGACATTAAGGCTTTGTTTGGTTTATTCACAAAAATTCTTAAGAACTTTCTTGAACTTTGGTTTCTTATTTTCTATAATCCAAACATAGCCTAAAGTTTAAAATCTGACAAAAAGTAATAAAAGTAAATAATATCATGAATTAACATGGTTCAGTATGAAATAGTATTTCATAAGAGAAAAAGGGTTTCCCACAAACTCTTAATTGACAAGATGGGGTGTTCTGAGGGAAAATAGTATGAAAATGAAATAGTATTTCATAAGACAACTGGCGTTTAATTTGGCTACCTGGCAGTGTGCCTGCACTAGGAGGCTCATGCTTTCTTCCAAGTGAGAGATATTGGCTTTGTTGGCTTTGTTGCAATAACAAGGTAAACTGCCTTAACTATGTCGGAAGGTTAGCTTGTTTGAAGGAGCGCCCGTCCCGCATTGTCTAAGTCTGATGAGGGTATGAGACCACACTCGGAGGTATATGGTATCATTCTGAGATCAAATTCTCTGACTTGTCGGAGTAGAGATCTGGGATCAAATCCCGCTGCCACCAGGGGTTGGGGAGTTAAGGGAAAGGGGATGGGCTACTTCCTGTTATGTAGTCCCATAAAGCGAAAAAAATAAATAATAAATAAATAAACACCCTATATGCACGTGCATTGAGAACATTTTTCAAAATTATCAGTAGGAGATGTTCCAAATACACAATTAGGATATACTGTGAGGTATTTGTGGGGCGCTGATGTAAACCCCATGCTACGTGTTGACTTCTGATTGACGGTTAACTTTGGTTGTATAAAAAAAAATATGACAGATGTTATGAATGAAGGAAACTTCTGAAACTAAAAATTGCATTCGGAGGTAAAAGTGCAAATAACAACACTAGAAGAAACAAAATGAAGATGGGGAGAAAAGAAAGAAGAAAGAAAATTTCTAGAAATATATATACTAGGAAAGAGTAGATTTGTTATATGGTAGTTAATAAGAAAATTTCTTGGTAGATGAAAACTATATGAGGATTAGATTGATCGGTAGCTATTTTTTGTGCATCCAGGGATTATGTTACATAAGGCTTCTTGGATGCCGTGGAGAATGGTAAAAAGAAGAAGAAACGGTTGACATTGTGGATTACTTAGTGGAGGGATTAGGGTTTTATGATATCACCAACTGCACCTTTTAGTAGAGTCCCTATTGGATATTATTTGTTTAAGGTGAAAAAACAGGATAATTGGTTTGAATATTACTAATATAATATGACCACTTCATTAAAATAATGAATAAACTCTACAAGCGTCTCATCAAGGAATTTTCATATCTTTTTACTTAAGCCTTGAGGTAATAAAATATCACTTATTGGGACTACTTTTGCGCATCTTTGTCAACCATCCTGATGAGGGTGTGTACTGTAGTTTCTCTGTTTCAAAAAATTAAATCAAAGAAATGTAGAGGGGTCACATAGATGGACCAGATTTGTAATTTATACGTAATTAACCTTATGCAATTGATTTACAGCCATTACTGAAACATTAATTTTACTATCAAAAGGATTCTGGATGGCCTGTGCACTTCTCTCTTTCTGTGTTTAATTTGCTACCAAAAAAAATGCAATAGTTGACCTGAAGGAGTTTTAATTAAGAGACCAGCCTTAACCCAGATATGGAATTGATTAATTTACAGCCATTACTGAATCATTAATTTTAGTCTGATTAGTTTTTAATTAGTTGAAGCATGGCTATCTTATCTTCTTATCAAAACCACATTCACTAGCTCTCTTTACAGGCATAAGTTTGGTCTTTCTGATGATGAAATGCAGCATGAAAGGAGAGATTCTAGGGGTTAGAGAAAGACAAGCAGAAGCAGGTTGTCTTTTAATTCCTCCGAAAGATATGAGTCTACTTGCCAATTAAGATATTAGTATTTGTGCAAGTGAGGTCTCTTGATATTTATATTGTTTGTGGGTGCGGGCATGGTCCTCCGTCTTCCTTCCCCCTTGAATTTGAAAATGATTTGATGTTATATTAAGAATCCGAGGTCAATGTGTGGTTCCCTCCTTTCAAAAAGCTTTGAAATCTTTATCTCTTCCTCTTGGTTTTTCTTCCTTATTCATTAAATATAGTTTCAACTTTTTATTTCTTTAATAGAAAAAACCTAGCCAACTTGTAACAACAGGATTGCAGTATCCCGTTGTTGTTTGGACCAAATATTTTTTCCTTTTCCAATTTAATGACTATATTACCCTTTTTATAAACCATTTTCATACTGGAAATCTTGTGTACCCATATATATATGTTCCATATACCATATATAAAATGGTCTATAAATGGGTTCATGCATGCATGGGTTGGCACCAACCGTTCAACTGGTCCAACCAGCTGAGAGGATTTCTCTTCTAAGGCTCAGTTTGGAAGAAGTACAAATGTAAATATGTAGAGTGCAAAACCTTATATTTTGTATTATTTGTATGTATTTGTACTGTACATATTTACATTTGTACTCCTTCCAAACCAAACTGAACCCAAGTAACAAACCCGATGCACATTCTTTAATATGGGTTATGGGTACGTAATCACTAATACATTGTTTTCTGGTATTAGTAATCAATGGTACATTTTTTGTGGGTTCCCTTAGTCAAAAATTTGAGAAAATTAATGGATTTGTATGTCGGTAAGAATGTGAAAGGTAGAGGAAGAGAGGGAGTGAACAAGGAGACACTGTTCGATGAGGATCTTTAACCAGTCAGGGCAATGTTTTTGGGATTTAGGTTTTTTGTTGGCCTTCGGCTCGGTTGATTTTCTGGTCCCTAGGGTTGTGGTTCTGATCTGGGAATGGTTAATAATGCCTTCAGTTTTCTTTTTTCTTTTTTTTTTTTTGGATTGAACTATGATATATATTGAAAAGACACGATACCGGAAAAAATTCTAACCAATCAATCAGCATTACAAAAGTAGAAACCAATCAGGTGGATTTTCACCAAAATTCATGGAGAGTTGTAATTTGTTAAAGTCTTTTTGATATGTATTTTTCTGGCACCATAGATTTTTCTTTTTTGTTTTTTTGTTTTTTTTTCTTTTGAGTGTGTTGCTTGAGCCAAGTTCTTTGTGTGTATTCACTCTAGGAGAGTCACAACTCTGTCATGTAATTTTGTTGATTGGAATGAATTTTGTCTTCGGTCTTTATTTTTTACTACAAAAATATAGTACATGGATACCTATGACGATCATCAAGATGTTGGTCTCCTCGGTGCTCCAAAGATGTAGAACTGTTCCATTTATAGACTGCTTCTATGGTTTAGGAGAATAGGGTACATTCTAGGAAGGTTCAGAGCAAGTCAAAAGAAACTGCAGGTTTTTTTATTCATTATCTTGTAGCATAGCGCAGCTGAATTGCTAAATAGATCCGGGCTGTATTTGCTTGCACAAAAAAGTAAATAGTAAAGGACCATGATTAGTTTCTTTGGAAAATTACATTCGACAGGAAAACAACTTATCCACATTTCTACTTCTAGTGTTTATCTTTGGCTGCTTTTGGTTAATCCAAAAATTTCTTAAAATTTTTTCCTTTCTGACTTATTTCCTTAAGGCTTGGAAGGAGTACAAATGTATATATGTAGAGTGCAAAACCTTATGTTTTGTATTATTTGTACTCTTTCCAAGCTGAGCTTTAGGAAACAAAAGCAACTTTAACTTAGAAAATAAACCTGAATGGTTGAAAACAAATGAATAATTTGAATGGAGATGATCAACCTCCATTGATAAAATAACAAACAGAAAATTGTAAGTAATGGTATTTCCCTACAATTCATACTCACTTTTTGAAAATGGTGGGGTTTTCCACAGCCATGCATTTTGTATTTAATTCAACACTATAAAATAATAATTTTCGGGAATTATTGGTTTCCTTCAGTGTACATGCAACAAAATTAACCAAATTAAAGGGAGCCTCGATGAAAAATCAAAAGCATATATAAAGAAAGCAATTCTAGAGAGAGAGAGAAGACCTTTAGATAATAGGCTTGCAAAAACCCTAAAAAGAAGCAGTAGCGTTGAATAGTAAGACAGGAGAAGGTGAGGTGTGAGACTTTTGTCCCCCTAAGCATCACATCATCCCTCACGTCCTATAAAGCTTGGTCTCCCTTCCCTCTTTCCCTCCAACCATCCTAGGGCACCTCTTCATATCTAACCAGACGATTGCACACAGACAGAGGGTTGGAGAGAAAAGGGAAGAAAGAGAGATGGGTAGAGCTCCTTGCTGCGACAAAGCTAACGTGAAAAAGGGACCTTGGTCTCCCGAAGAAGACGCGATGCTTAAGGCCTATATCGAAAAGTATGGAACCGGAGGCAATTGGATTGCTCTTCCTCAGAAGATCGGTATGCCTTCTTCTTCTTCTTCTTCTCTCGCTCGCTCTTGCTTTCTCTTTCTCACACACTTGTACACATATTCTCCTGTTTGTAATCTTGCTCGTGTTTGTATCCTCTAATTAAATAAAGAAACGTTCAGTTGATCAGCAGTGTTTTCTTTATTCATAAATTCTGCAGGTCTTAAGAGGTGTGGGAAGAGTTGTAGACTGAGATGGTTGAATTATTTGAGACCCAACATTAAACATGGTGGATTTTCCGAAGAAGAAGATAACATCATCTGCAGCCTCTATATTAGTATTGGAAGCAGGTACAATCTCTCTGTGTGTGTGTGTTTGTGTAGATCATGATTTCGTTAGGGTAGCATTTTTCTACAGTAAGAAATGAAAAAGAAAGAGAAGATAGGGGACAAAACTCAAGTTATAGAAATCTAATCTCTCTCTCTCTCTGTTTGTGTGGATCATGATTTCCTTAGGGTAGCATTTTCTACAGTAAGAAATGAAAAAGAAAGAGAAGATAGGGGAGAGAAGAACGAAATTAAAGAAAACTCAAGTTATAGAAATTCAATCTCTCTCTCTCTCTCTGTTTGTGTGGATCATGATTTCGTTAGGGTAGAATTTTCTAACAGTCAGAAATGAAAAAGATAGAGAAGATAGGGGAGAGAAGAACGAAGTTAAAAAAAACTCAAGCTATAGAAATCCAATCTCTCTCTCTCTCTCTCTCTCATGATCGAGTCTAAACGTTTGTTAAAATTTCTTCTGTTTTAGGTGGTCAATAATTGCAGCCCAATTACCTGGCAGAACTGATAATGACATCAAAAACTACTGGAATACCAGACTGAAGAAAAAGCTGCTAGGAAGGCGTAAAGAGACTCAGACTCGCCGTCTATCTTCTGCACTAAATCTAGATCCCAAAGTCACAAACGGAATGGAAGATAATCCAGCCCTAAGCAACTCCGCGCTCGAAAGATTGCAACTGCACATGCAGCTCCAAAGTCTCCAAAGCCCATTCTCTTTCTATAACAATGCTGCACTGTGGCCCAAACTGCATCCCTTTGGAGGTAGGATCTTCCCAAACAACCACGTCGCGAACGATGATCCCACCTCTCTGATGCAAGAAGGGGCTACTACTCAAGCTGGAACCAGTCAGAAGGTTGCCTTGGATGAGCTACCCACAGCTCCAATTGGTGTTCAACAAGACAATTTGGCGAGTAGTCTCAGTAAACAAGCCAAACTGGAGAACTCTTTGAATGGGTTCTCATCGTCAGAGAGCTCCATTGCTTTTAGCAATGGTTCTGTTCCAATTGACACAACTATCATGTCACAACTAAACAGCGTCGACAAATCTAACAGAAACCTCCAATCCGTATCTGCAGGTCTATATGCTGAATTAAATGAGTTACTTTATGGCAAAAACTGTGGGTACGTACCAAATGAAGATCAGATTACTGAATTCGATGGTTTCAAAGAAACGGAAGCGGTCAAGGACAGCATGCCATGGTGGGCTAATGATTTTGATACAAAGTCATCTTCATCAAATTCTTGGGACTCAGCTTCTGTTCTTCAGCCTGATGGTTTGTTTCCAGATTATGTATTAGGATATGACCTATAATAAGTTAATACATATGTACGTAGTAATTAAAGAATTTTTAAGTATAATTACAGACTCAACGGGAGAGGGATTAGGGAATAGACATATGGAGTCTGATGTCTAATGGTGTAAATCGTGTGAATAATACTGTTGCTTTGCCATGTCTCTTTATATCTATTTTTAATGCTTTGCCTTGTTTATTTCCTATTTTTATGTGAATTGAACCACCATGAGTATCGCATACATTGATGATAAAATTAATAGAATTAATAATCTTTTTTGAATAATTTGAAAATAAATCTGATCCCGGGGAGATGCCGTGAAATTCAAAGGCCTATCAGCTTCACAACCAGGTGTTAAGAATTTCAGATCGATGGTTCATCAATATTACCTACCACTTTGTTTCTTCTCCATTCCTTCCACCCCTCCACATGGAAAAAGAAGAAACTAAATAAAAGCAGAAGTCTTTAATATAGGCATTTAAACAGTAGGAAGCAGGTTTGAGAGTTTAAAATCTCAGGAACTGTTCTAGTGTGACTGTTTCTGTATTTATATATGTTAAGGCCATTTTAATTATCAAACAAATTAGCAAAGCTGACAAATTACAGGAAGGCAAGCCAAGCTCCTCAATAGGAGATTGCAGTACTAGATCATGAAATCACCATGAATTTGTTTATTTGCAGACCATGAGACAAGATCGGTTAAATGAGTTTCCATTGTCAACAGACTTGGCCACCCAATCCGCATTGGTATAGAGATGTAGTTGAGGAGATGAGACATGAGAAAATGAAGGCTATGATTAATAATGATATACTACAGGTATTGAAGCATAAGTTTAGCTATGCTCCAATATGTTTAAGGAATGTGCATGCATGAATTTCATAGTGAATGTAACATTCAGGCATTGTGACATTACAAAAAAGGCATTTAGGCATGTGAGGGTTTAGGTGTAAGGGCACCAATAGTGCTCCAATATTTGGTGGGATTAGAGAAGGTTCCATATCTGATAAGCATATGCCATGGGATGTTCCTGAAGGCTGAACGGTTTACCTCCAGGTCGTGGGTCACTGGTTCGACCATCTGGGTCGAATGGGTCAGTCCATGCCAAAATTGCAATATCAGTGTGTGTATAGGAATGTATAAACATGCATTGAGATATAATATATGTATAATACAAATATTATTTTATGTTTAACTTATATTTTTTAATTTATTTTTTATTTTTTATTTTTTATTTATAAAAATGCTAAAATTGCAATTTCAGACCCAAAAGAGGTTTTTTTGGCAAAAATAGTTGGGCAAGGTGTCTTTGGCACGTTGAGACATGTAGATCTTGAAAAGTTAGTCAAAATAAAAATAATAATAAAAAAAAGACCATCCCAATTGGACAACGAAGTGCAAAGTTATGGCCTTCAAAAGTGTGCACATACATTGAGTGTACAACTCACAATCTGGTGACCGGGTCAAATGCGTCAACTGTTGAACTGCCCGAGTCAAATGATTTTTGACTAATTCTACATTTTTTGACAATGTAATGAGTTTCAAAAGAACCAGACCCAAAATCAATGCCAAATACAATTCAAATGATTCAACCAACCAACTGGATCAACGACAAGTTGAAAACATTATTACAATCATGCATGGTGTTATGTAGAGTGGTAGTTTTTCAACCCAATCCACGAACTCGCCCAACCCAACCATTAATTGACGGGTTGGGTTGTAACCATTTAATCTCGGGTCACTATGGATTGGATAACCGAATAATGGGATATTTAATGGGTTGGGTGGGTTGGGTCATGGTTATCCAACGGGTAACCCAATAGTTTTTGATATTTAGACTTCCCTTTTTGAATAATCCTAATTCGAACCCTAAACAACCAAATTCAGCAGCAGAGAGTACTGAAGCTTTTGGTGAAGGGATCAGATGAAGAACTCTGCAACTCCTAATAATATTATAAGGTGGGTGTTTTTGAAAAAGATCCTTCGATGTTTTCACTACTTCTCGACATTCATGGTCTCTGCTCTTTTCTCTCACTCACATTCTCTTAGGTGGCAACGCCACCGAATTTGCCCAGGGATTAGAGCTTTCATTGCCTATTTCATCAATGTTGTAGTAGAAGCAATATCCAGAGTTTCCACTCCTTGAAGCTAAATCATGTCATCTTTGCCATATTGTGTTGGTTGGGCTCCCTTCCCACGTGGAGGGCCCACAAAAAAAAGACATTAATGAGCAACAAAACAAACTCAGCAAGTTGAGTGAATACGAATGGTTCGGTGAAGCCTTCCACCGAAGATTGTTTTAGAGAGAAAAACAGAGAGAGAGAGAAGGGAAAGGAGAAGAGAGTTTTTGTGGGTTTTCATGGGCGAAGAACACAAAACTTGCGTGGCATCCCTTTCTACGATCACCTTGAGATTTTAGTATGCAGTTGATGGCGCCTCAAGCTGCATATCTACTGGTTTGATTTTCTATTCCTCTTCTCTATTATCATTTTGGTGAGATTTATTTTTTGTCTCTGAGTTATTTGGTGATATGTGATGAAATCCACCTTTGGGTGAGTAGTTGATACTGATAGCCTCTAGATTTACTGCTAGAGAAGAACTTTGTTGTATCCCATTGATTTATTAGTGAAAGTTTTTAAGTGGCTAGTTGCCCGTGGTTTTTCCCTTCACTTTGGAGGGTTTTCCATGTTAAAATCTTGTGTCTTCTACTTGTGGATTGTGTTCTTATTATTGCATATAATTTCTCTACTTTGTTGATATTGTTTGGCTTGCATGCCCATTTAAATTGCACAAAGAGGAAAACAAAATTATTTTGTTTTCTTTCAAACATATATATTTTTTGCTATTTGGCTATTATGAGATAGCGGGTTTTTCTCAACAAGTGGTATCAGAGCTACGGTTATTTTGAGGAATTTCTTGTGCTAATTAAATGGAGGACTCGACCAGTAACAACAGTGGCATTATGATTAGGCTCACTGATTCAAACTATTCAATATGGAAGTCTAGAATGATGGATTTGCTCTGTTGTTATGACTATGAAGACACCATATTGGGTGATGAAGGCAAGCCATAAGGTATGTCCGGTAAAGACTGGGAGAAACTAAATAGAAAGGCAGTTGGAAAGATCAGACAATTGGTGGATAATACAGTGTATCAACATGTTGCCAATGAGACTAACGCCCATAAGGTGTAGACTATTCTGTAGGAGTTATATGAGAAAAGAAATTATCAGAATTAAGTTTTTCTTTTCAAGAAGCTTATGTGTTTGTGATATCAGGATGGAACTTCTGTTTCTGAGCACTTGAATGTCCTTCAAGGTATATTGAACCAGTTGGCTGCTATGGAGGTAAAGTTAGATGAAGAGATTCATGCTATGTGTTTGATTAGCTCTTTGCCTGAGATGTATGCCTGAACACAAATTGTCTGAACACAAATACTACTTGCAAAATTATCGGTATAGGAGATGTATGCCTGAACACTAATACTGCTTGCAAATTGCTCTTGAATAATGCGAGGCATGTTCCTGAGATTCGCCTTAATTTGATTTCCACTGGGATGCTTGATGATGATGGCTATCAAAAGTACTTTGGTGAAGGAAAATGGAAGCTCACTAAAGGGTCTTTGGTGGTAGCTCGGGGAAACAAGTGCAGTTCTCTCTATGTGACAGAGGCTAAATCTTGTGGGGGAGAGGTAAATGCAGTTGAAGACTCTTCCATTGAACTTTGGCATACACGGTTGGGTCACTTGAGTCAGAATGGTTTGCGGGTTCTTTCAAAGAAGCATAATGTTCTAGGTTTGAATTTTTCTGACTTGAAAACATGCTCTCACTGCTTGGTAGGTAAACAGCACAAAGTTGCATTTAAAATTTTCTCTCATTCTAGAAGAGCAAATGTTCTAGATTTGGTCCATACTGATGTTTGCTCTATGGACTTTTTGAGTCTTGGTGGTGCTCACTATTATATTACCTTTATTGATGATCATTCCAAAAAGGTCTGGGCTTATTGTTTGAAAACTAAAGATCAAGCTTTAGAGGTTTTCAAGTATTTTCATGCTATAGTTAAGAGGGAAACTGGAAGGAAGTTGAAATGTGTTCGTGCAGATAATGGTGATGAATATAGAGGGCCATTTACAGAGTATTGCAGAACTCATGGGATCAAGTTTGAGAAGACAGTGCCAAAAACACCTCAACACAACGGTGTTGCAGAGAGAATGAACCGTACCATTAATGACAGAATTAGATGTATGCTCTCTCGTGCAAAGCTGCCTAAGTCCTTTCGGGGGGAGGCAATGAGAACAACAGTTGACTTGATATATCTTTCTCCTTCGGTTCCTTTGGATGGTGATGTTCCTGAGAAGGTTTGGAAAGGAAGAGATGTATCTTATGATTATTTGAAAGTTTTTTGTTGCAGGGCATTTGTGCATGTTCCTAGAGATGAGAGATCCAAACTTGACAGTAGAACGAAGCAATGTATCTTTCTTGGGTATGGTCATGAGGAATTTGGGTACAGGTTTTGGGATCCAATTAACAAGAAACTCATTAGAAGCAGAGATGCAATGTTCCTCGAGGATTAGACTATTACAGACTTTGAAAAGCCAGATAAGCCAAAGTCTACAGATCATGAATCAGTTGACCCAAATATGATTGGTCCACCAACTACAAATACTGGAAATATAAGAGATGTACAAAAAGATCAAGACGAAAATACCCCTCCAGTTGATAATGAGCCAGTAAATGAAGAAGACCAAGCAGATGAACAGAATAATTTAGAGCCACCAGAAGAGCTTTAGTTGAGAAGATCCACTAGAGTGCGTCAACCTTCTGTAAGATACTCCCCTACTGAGTATGTAATGATTACTGATGGGGGAGAACCAGAGAATTATCAGGAGGTTTTGTCTCATGAGAAGAAACAAGAATGGTTAAAAGCCATGAGAACCATACTATGATCTGGTAAAGCTACCAAAGGGTAAGAGGGCCTTGAAGAATAAATGGGTTTTCAGATTGATGAGTGAAGAAAATTGCTCACAACCACGGTACAAGGCAAGATTGGTTGTGATGGGATTTAATCAGAAAAAAGGGTGTTGACTTTGAAGAAATTTTCTCACCTGTTGTGAAGATGTCGTCTATCAGAGTTGTTTTGGGATTGGCTGCCAGCTTAAACTTGGAAATTGAACAACTTGA